GGACCTGCTCTAAAGCAGAAAACCATAGCCTAGATTTCCCCAGTGCCATTCCTCCCCAAGCTTCTGTGAATTGACTTCCCTTCATTTCCAGTGGAGTTGGTCTTTGATTGGAGTAAGAGAGCTAATCTCCATTTCTTTAGAAATTTGGTATCTCTCTGGTCTTGACTTTCATTGCCACACAGAAACTTTTTGGTTAGAAATAAGGAAGGTATTCAATACTCCTGAGTTTTAAGATAACCTTTCAGATTTCAAATCAAAGATGCTTTTTGAAAAGGAAAAAAATCCTTTCAAGGTTTATGAAAGTGTTGTCTTGCTTGAGGGGCCTAGGTGGTAAAGACAAAATGTGCCTAGAATTAACAAGGATTCTATAGCTGACAGGGTGTACATAGTGGTTAAGTGAGCAGGGAAGTTCAGGTGCTGAAAGGGTTAAGGCAGATTCATCCACCTTTTTTAGAAAGCAGCAGTACCCTTCAACTATGAAATAGTCAATCCTCAGTCTAATTTCTTTACTGGTAGGAATGTTGGAATTGTGGGTATAGAGATTAATTTAGCTATCTCTGTTTTGTGGTCTCTGAACAATACTTATATCTATGGAATGAGCGGAGAAGTTAAAGGGGTCGATTTAAAGAAAAGGAAAAAGAAGCAAAGTTCAGATTATGTCTTCCATTAACCTGAAGACTGGTTTATAAAAACATACCTTAAAGTAATGGATATTAAACTAGGTGATTCTCAGGGTTATTTTTGGTTTTTCTGCCACCTCAGCTGAATAGTGATTCTGGAGCTTTATTTTTTCCTAATAGATCTGATCCAGGACTAAATGTCAAACCATTTTTATAACAAAACATGATCCCTGATATGAACTTTAATAGTTACCTCATTCACGATAAAACCAACTACTGTAGCATTTTTATTCATTATCCTTTCTACGACCCTGGATGCAGCTACTCTGGGAATAATCAATTTTTTTTAGCATCTCGATTTCTACAGATATCTTTTTAAATTGAGGTGAAATTATATAGCATAACAAAGTTAATCCTTTTAAATTGAGCAATTAAATGGCATATCATACGTAGTTAGTATTATGCAATCACTACCACTATCTAATTCCAAAACTCTTTCATCATCAGAAAAGAAAACCCGTAACTTAGAGCAACTTTCCATTCTTCCTTTCACCCCACCCCTGACAACCACAAAAATATCTCTTTCTCTGATTTTATCTTTCCTTGATATTTCATATGAATGGAATCATAATATGTGACCTTTTCTTTCTGGCTGCCTTCACTTGGCGTAATTTTTTAGGTTCATCTATGTTGTAGCATATGTCGTTTCTTTTTGTGGCTGAATGTATATATGTAACATCCTTTTTTTTTTTTTCTCATTTGCTGGGACTTTGGTGGTGTTTCTGTACTTGAGCAATTGTGACTTGTGCAGCTATGAACATTTGTATATAAACATTTACATATCTGTTTTCAATTATTTTGGGTAAGAGTGAAGTTACTCAGCAGTCATATGGTAATTCTGTGTAACTTTTTGCAGAGCTTCCCATACTGTTTTTTCCGTCATGGCAGCAGTTCTACATTCCCATCATAGATGCACAAAAATTCCCAGTTTTCCAAGTTCTTGCCAGGTTCTTGTGATTTGGGGTGTTTTTTTGTTTCTTAATAATAGCCATAGCAATGGTTGTAAGGTGGTATCTGGTATATTTCATTTCCCTAATGATTACTGTTTGAGCATCTTTTCATATGCCTGTTGTAGTTTTGTAAATGTCTATTTAAAGTCATTTACCCATCTTAATTGGATTATTTTTTGTTGTTGAGTCTTAGTTATGAGCATATTCAGGATACTAATCTCTTATCAGATATTCATTTTTTCCCCATTCTACATGTTGTCATTTCACACTGTTGTATAAAAGTTTGTGTTTATTTTGTGGTACCAGGGATCAAACCTCATGTTTTACTGTTTTGTTTTGTTTTGTTTTGTTTTGTTTTTTGTAGGAGTACTGCTGTTTATTCAGCCACTGATTAGCTGATTGAATTGTGCTTGAACTCCACGTGTTTTCCTGTTGAGCCACATCCCTGGCCACCTTATTTGATACACAATTTATTTTTTGTTGCTTGTGCTCTTTGTGTCATATCCAAAAAAATTCTGCCAAAACAATATTATGAAACTTTCCCCCTTGTTAAATGTTCGTAGTTTATACCCTTATGCTTAATTTAAGTCTTTAGCCTTAACAAATTCAAACTATTTTGTTTTCAGAAATTTTCATGTGCATTTTTATTGCTCATCCTCTTCTCTGTACTTGCAGTTTCTTTTTACTGAGCCAGGGATGTAGCTAAGTGGTAGAGCACATGCTTTGCATATGGAGCCCTGGATACAATCCTTGTCACCACACACACACACACACACACACACACACACACACACACACACACTTCCCCTTTTCCCCTATCTCTTTGTATTCAGAGTGTTAGCCACCTTTCATGACTATTGCTTGCTTCATAGACTTCCTATATAGCACACCAACTAACAAGACTCTGTTTTTCAGATCTCCCATTAGGGCTTTACTTTCACTTTTCATTTAGAACCGTCATAGTTCCTTATTTACATTTAATTCCACTATAAGACATTTAGATGCTTTGTGTATGCTTCTTATGTATTTCCATTATAATATTTTGAAAATGACTTTATCAATAAAGAATCATTTGATGAGTGGATATTATTTTTCCCATTATAGTCTCTTGTTTTCTTTATCCTTGTGGAAGGAATGGGAGAAAACAAGAGGGAAGGAGAATATAGGGGTTCTTGCTAGATAGTAGGGGTGGACTTAATTCTACTTCAGAGATCATCTCTTTAGGATATCTTTCATAATTTTTCTTTGTTGACTCACTGTGAGGTCCACCACCACAAAGCTGTTCATGATTGGGTTTCAGTCATACAATGTTCCAACACCCATTCGTCCACCAGTGTACATTTTCCATCACCAATGTCCACAGTTTGCGTCCCACCTCCCACCCCACCCCTGGCTGCCTCTGTGCCAGGCACCTTCTTGCTCACTGTCTTTCTCCTTTTGTGCATTATGGTTTGCAACTGGGTGGCGGCTTTGGGTTGTGGACGTGACTACCAGGGCTTCTGGAGGTACAGGGAGGTGTGGGGAGGTAGCCCATCCTGACCCCAGGAGAACCTGGAGATTTCAGTCACAAAACCCGCATACCTGACTTTTCAGCAGATTACTCTCTAGGTGAGGTCCATCCCAAGATGGTGGAGTTCACCTGGGGGCATTGTCCAATTTTGGATTGGAGCAAGCAGCTGCTGAGAGCTTTGCCTGGGCCGGCACTGGCAAACCCTCCCCATGTACCCCCATCTTGTATAGGCTTGCACCGGTCTGAGATTAATTGTGGCTTCTGATCTCTTGAAATTTATTTATGAGTTTCTGAAGCAAGGCCAATAAATGAGCTTGTTTGGCTGAGCTAGTAGTGGTTTGTGGGTGTGGCTCCCACATACCTAACTTTTGGCAGTTTAATTTCTCAGGAAACTTGGTCCTGAGTTGTTGGAGTATGGCCAGAGGCACAGTGGCAATTCTGGGGTGTCAGGAAGCCCAAGGACACCATTAGGCTGCTGATGCCCTCACCCCACGGGTCCAGGCTGAGCTGCCGGCAGCACTGTGCCCCCTGGGCCCCAGTAGCAACAGCCGCAGTGAACCAGGACCGAGCCCAGGCTGCTACAGTACACACTGGGGCACTCTGGGTGGGCTGCAGCGCCCAGTCCAGCAGAACCTGGCCAGGGGCACACCCCGATCTTTGGTCTCCCCACAGTTGGCACTTAAGGAGGTTTTCCTCTATAATATGCTGTGGGTGGGAGGGACCCATCGTGGGGACTGGAGCGTTTCCTCAACTCTGGTACCTCAACACCTGCACTCCACCATGGTGCCACGTCAGACCTGAAGAGCCCTGTTCAGGCCCTTAAAACTCTGCTGCCACCCAGAGTGACGAGAGCTGCAGAATTAACACCAATTGGCCTCTGTACCATGCATCCAACTCCAGCCGGGTGACCAGCTGGCTGTCCTCAAGCCAGAATATCCAAGGGACACCCACGTTCACTCATGCAGAAACTGTGTAGCCCCATGGGTTGTTCAGAGCACTGAGTTCCCATTCCTCCCCACAGCCATCTGACCCAGAAGCCTTTCTCATCATTTTCATAACTACTTTAAATACATAGCTTTTAGCTCTCAGTTGGGTGTGGGGGTTGGGCGCACCTAGCAGTGCTCAGGAGTGACCCCTTGAAAGTGCTTAGGGGGTTGTGTGTGGTTCTAGGGACTCAATCTAGGGTCAAGGCCAATGTGGTCACATGCAGGGATAGTGCATTATCTCTTGTACTATCTCTCAGGCTTAATCATTGTTTTTTGTTTGCTTTACCACACTGGTGATCAAACCCAGGACTTCATATGTGCAAGATGGTTGCTCTACCCCTGGGCTACATCCCTTACCTGGGAAGATATATTTTGACTGCTGTGTTCTCCTTAAAACTTAATTTTGAAAATAGATTTATACCATGATTTTTTAATATTAAAAAAACAACCATTTCAGAGAAGACTAAAGTTTGGTTTGATCAAGCCAGCCCCATCCCAGTCCCTTTTGCCTTCCTCAAGGCTCATCATTGTTGCTGGTTTTATAAGAGCCCTGCCAGGCTTTTGTGCTTTTATACACACACACACACACACACACACACACACACACACACGTATATGTGTATGTATATATACATACATATATGTGTATGTTATATCAAATTTCAAATGTAATAAGTACATGTATAGTTATATCCATGTACAATTATCCTACTTTTCACAACTGCCTATGGTGATTGATAACCAGTAGATACTAAACAAATCTTACGGCTACCTGAGTTTGAAGATTGCAATGAGAATTGAAAGGCCAGACATATGAAAATGCATTAACTCTGTCTGTTTTGCAAAATTCTTTCCCTGTCTGTTCTACATTTAGTCCTCAGGTACCAGTATACAGGCAATGGCTCCAAGATCCCAACGACAAAAGCACAAGAAACCCCCATCATCAGTGGCTTCCCAGGTCCAGACCCCTATTCCTCAGACCTTCTCAAAACCAGGTCCTAGCATTGATTCTCTTGGCTTCTTCTCCCTGGAGAATAATGTTCCTGGTCTATCCCAGCTGATCCTTCAAAAGCTGAACATGAAAAGCTATGAAGAATACAAGTGAGTGACTAGCTGTGTGGGAGAGTGAGACAGATTCCAGAAGGAAGCGGGGGCATTGGCAACTTGTGCAACAATAAAACTTTTTGCCATTTTTTCTTACTATAGAACTCTATAGCAGTACGTTCAAGTAAGAAATGATGGGAGTAAATACCAGAATTGGTAGGAATAGATAGAAATCAAGTCAGGCGTCATGAGAGATTTTTGAAGATCTTTTTCTTCCTGCCAGTCCTCTGTGCTGTCTCTGCAGGTTGGTGATAGATGGTGGCACCCCAGGTTCAGGCTTTGGATTCCAGTGCCCTCAAGAAATGTTCGAGAAGTTGGAGGACACATTCCGATTCTGTGCTCACTGCAGAGTACTCCCGAGTGGCCTTTCAGACGCCAAGACCCTGCGACGCTGCACAAGGTAACTAGTTGAGAGCTAATGAGAGACACCTAGAAATTGTCCTGTTCTAAAAGTTCACCGCAGGAGGAGAGGTCCGAGAGTTCTCGGACTGACTTAACGGCCATTTATTTTGCATGGTCCAGGCCCAGAGAGATTAGAACAGAATTGGATCCTCTTCATTTTGGTGTTTAGGGAGGTTAGAGATGACAGTAGAATCCCCTCCGTCCCCCTTTTGAGTACTTAACGGGTAGGTAAGAGCATCAGTATCCTGGGGAGATTGGGTTTGAGGACAGTCATGAACCCCTGTGTTTCATTTTTTCTGCAAAAAATGTAAAAATCAGTCATTTGTTTCAGTTAGTGACTAAGATATCACTCTGGCCTAAGGAAATAATCACATTCCTAGTCCCTCTTCCTGCTCTGCCAGATAGTCCCCAAACTGATGCATCCGTCACTCTCCCCCCTCCTACCTTGCATACCAGGTGATCACTCTAGGTATGAGAATATCAAATTTCTTCCCCAAACCCCCAATCACTTTCGGGATATAGAAACATCAGTTACTTGGTCCCATTCTCTCAGGTGCAGAAACGTTTATTACTGTGGTCCAGAGTGCCAGAGATCAGACTGGCCAGCGCACAGGAGAGTGTGTCAAGAGCTGAGCCTTGTAGCTGTGGACCGCCTTGTGGAATGGCTTCTGGTCAGAGGTGGAGTGATGGTATTGGGGAGTTCTGCTTGCAGTTTGTACTTGGAGAAAACTAGGAAAGCATGTATTTTTAGGTTTGGTTTTTGGGCCACACCCAGTGATGCTCAGGGTTAATCCTGGCTCTACGCTCAGGAGTTACTCCTGATTATGCTTAGGGGACTATCCGGGATGCCGGGGGGCACACCTAAGCCAGCTGCATCAAGCCAGCTACCCACTATGCTGTCCTCCAGCCTCTGAAAGCCTGCGTTACTTCGTTGTTGTTTGGGGCCATACCTGGCGATGCTCAGGGGTTACTCCTGACTCTGCACTCAGAAATTACTCCTGGTGATGCTTGGTATCCTACAGGGTACTGGGGATCGAATCCAGGGTGGCTGCATGCAAGGCAAATGCCCTACCTGTTGTAGTATCGCCTGGGCCCTGGGTCACTTCTTGTTTCTTCTTTTCTGCAGGTGACTTTGTTCTGCCCTCAGGACCTTGGCAATGTTTGAGTGAAGTTGTCCAGGACTGGGACTCCTGGTTTTCCATGCGGGGTTTGGAGCTAGAAGCTGCACTAGATGCTGTGCTGGGGAGTCAGGCTATGGCTGTGCTGTGGGCCAGTGTCGGTCGGCCACGGCCAGACCCAGAGGTCCTGCAGGGCTCACTGAAGCGATTGCTGACAGATGTCCTGTCACGGCCCTTGACACTGGGCCTGGGGCTTCGAACCCTAGGAGTAGATGTTGGAAAGAGTGGAGGAAGCACTGTGCATGTAGTTGGTGCTTCCCATGTTGAGACATTTCTCACTCGCCCCGGGGACTATGATGAACTTGGGTACATGTTCCCTGGACATCTTGGCCTCCGTGTGATCATGGTGGGTGTGGACGTGGCTGTTGGCTTTTCACAGAGCACCCCAACTTCACCGCTGGAAACTGGCACAGTGCAGCTGACTAGTCACAGGGGCCTCTATCATGACTTCTGGGAGGAGCAGGTTGCTACTGGGCAGACAGCCCATCCAGATTTGGTGGTGGCATTCCATCCAGGTAAGACTCATTGGTTAAGGGGACCCCCTGGGTGACTCCTTCAGGATCTTCCATCGTGACTCATGGATCCCCATTCATTTGATCAGGTTAAGCATAGTATGAAAATGAAAATGGCATTGATTGTTTAACCTAATGTGCTACCCCTGGATTCAAGACTTTTCTTTTTTGGGTGGGAGCCTGTTTGTTTTGGGGCCACACCCTGCAGATGACTTCCCAACTGTACTATTGCTCTGGCTGGGATTCAGAATTTTTCACCCAAGAACCTGGAATGAGTGATGGTGTTAAATGAACACTAGGTGGGGCTGGAGAAATAGGACAGTGGATAGGCACTTGCCTGGTGTGTGATCAACCCCGGTTTGATCCCTAGCACCTTGATGCTTATGGCCCCCTGAGCACTGCCAGGAGTTATTATCTGAGCACCACCAGGTGTGGTCCAAAAACAAAATAAAAAAAAAACACTAGGGATGGAGAAAAAATGAGGCATGGGGTGAACACAGAGAAGCATCTTGCATAGGACCAGAGATAATCCAGCACGTAAGGCACTTGTCTTGTACACAGCTGACCTAGGGTTGATCCCTGGCATCCCATATGGTCCCCCCAGGACCTTCAGAAGTGATTCCTGATTGCAGAGCCAGGAGCAAACCCTTAGCATTGCCAGGAGTGGCCCCAAAAACTAAGAGAAAAAGGGGGGAGAGTAGCTTGCTTTGAATTTACTCCAGCCTTTCCCCTTCCCTGTTTTCAATTCCATTTTGCTCTCTAGGTTTTCATGCTTCCCCAGATTTATTAGAGTCTTGGCTGCCCACCCTCCTGCTACTTCGTGATTATGAGATCCCTACCTTGATTACTGTTTACAGGTTTGACTTCTTCCTATCTGTGATACTCCCCCAAACTCTCAAATCTCTTTATGTAGACAAACTTATTTCTCCCTTGCTCATCCTCTGCCTCTGGTAAGGATTTTCTTCCTATACTTGACTTTCTCTTTCTCTAAGAACAAAATCCTTTGCTAACTGGGTAGATAGATACTTGGAAGAGCCTTGCCTAATCCAGCTCTAAGTAATGTGTCATGTGTCCATAGATGAAATACTCCGTAGTTTCTCTCCTGTCTTTGTCATATGAGTAGAACAATTTTTTTTTTTAATTCCATAGCCGCCAGGAATTGGCAGCCTCTTTGCAGATTTTGGTGGACCTGGATACGCACATCACTGCCTATGGAGCTAACCCTTTCGCGTCCCTCAGACCTGAGCAGGTCTACTCCAACCCCAACAAGCAGCCAGTGTACTGCAGTGCCTACTACATCATGTTTCGTGGAAGTTCCCACCAGTTGGGGAAGAAGCAGTTGGAAGAGGAAGTGGATGGTGTGGCTTAAATACCTGAGCCAGTTCCTAATGGGGTGACTAGGAAATGGAGGAGTGGTGAGGAAATTACCCACTGATACCAGATTGTTGCTGACTTTGAACCCGCCATCCTGAACCTTACTTACCTAGGCAAAGATTCTAAGCTGAATGGAAGCTCTGTGTTGTTGTGACTAATTCCTAAGAGATCAGCCATAAGTAACTTCTTGAAAGAGTAGTCTATCTTTAGTGTGTGACAGGAGTTGGGAGATGCTATGAGAGAGCCTACAGCTCCTGACACTTTACTTTGTCAAAAGAAAATTGCATTTTTTTTTTTTGCTTTTTGGGTCACACCCAGCCTATGCTCAGGGGTTACTCCTGGCTCTGCACTCAGGAATCACTCTTGGTGGTGCTCGGGGGACCATATGGGATGCTGGGAATTGAACCCGGGTTGACTGTGTGCAAGGCAAACGCCCTATCCGCTGTGCTATTGCTCCAGCCCCGAAAATTGCACTTTTTAATGGAAAAGAAGGGTATCTTGTTCTTCTGAAAGAGTGTTTATTTATTTATTTGGCTTTTTGGGTCACACACGGTGATGCACAGGGATTACTCCTGGCTTTGTACTCAGGAATTACTCCTGGCAGTGCTCAGGGGACTATATGGGATGCTGGGGATCGAACCCAGGTTGGCCGCATGCAAGGCAAACACCCTACCCACTGTGCTGTCGCTCCAGCCCCAAAGAGAGTTTATTGCTATCCAGAAATTTGGGTTAAGAAATGAAAAGGTGCTAATGTTTTAAAGTGGTACAAGAATGGCAAGTCGGGCTGGAGGGATTGGACAGCAGTAGGGAGTGCTTGCCGTGTACACAGCTGGCCTGAGTTAGATCCCCAGCAGCCAAATGGTCTTCCAGCCCTTGCTCAGGCCTTGCTCAGAGTGACCTTAACTGCAGGGCCAGGACTAAACCCTGAGCACTGGCCCAACACAATAGCAACAACAACAAAATGGCAGTCAGGGGAGTGATTGGGAGCATGATGGGAGAAGTGCCATGCTGTTTTATTTCTCAACTCTTTTTTTTTTTGGATAAATATATGATTACCTCCTCCCCCCCCCCACTCCCCCTCCCCCCGCCCCAGGCACCTCTGACCCTCGAGCAGTTTTTTGTCCAGGTTGTTCAGTTGTAATTTTTTTTCTTTCTTGGTACTTGGTTTAAACCCAGATCTCATTTAACTGAGGCATGCCTTGTACCACTAAGTTACATCTCTGGCACCAGTTTTAATACTTTATATGTCCCAGGTGGGCTAGGGTGTTTGGTTTGCGCGCAGCCGGCCCAGCTGAGCCAGGTTCGATTTCTCCGCCCCTCTCGGAGAGCCCGGCAAGCAACCGAGAGTATCTCGCCCATACGGCAATGCCTGGCAAGCTACCCATAACATATTCAATATGCCAAACACAGTAACAACAAGTCTCACGATGGAGACATTACTGGGCCCGCTTGAGCAAATCAATGAACAACAGGACCATGATATGTCCCAGAATATATCAGACTTGACTTGAATGTATCCAAGTTGTTTGCAAGCTAATCTGTACTGCAATAAACTTAGTTTGCAGCTTCTTAAAGTTACTTGTATTATTTTCTATTTACTGGCTCCACACTACTATCTACACAGAACATCTCAACATTGCAGGTTTTCTTTTGCCAAGGGAGAAATTTACAGCAGCCTTCAGTTTGGGTCTTCCTGTTTGCCACAGCCTGTCTCATGCCACCCCTTATCACATCACATATCACACCATCAGGATTAGGGTTTTCCCTACTCATTTTTCCTCCAAGCTTTTCAAGTTCTTCCACCCCCTCATACTTCCCCTTTCTCACCATTTACTTACACTCAGATTCTTTTATTTATTTTTTTCATAATTTTATTTATTTATTTTTCTTCTTATATTTATTTATTGAATCACTGTGGGAAAAGTTACTAAGCTTTCAGATTTAAGTCTCGGTCATACAAGGATCAAACACCTTTCCCTTCACCAGTACTCATTTTTCACCACCAAGAACCCCAATGTACCCCCCTCCCACCCTTCCCAATGCCTGTGAGGCAGATGATTTCTACTTAACTCTTCTCTACATTGATTACATTCATTATTTTGACAAAAGATGCACCATTATTGTTTAGAATCCCCCCCCCCCAACAATCAGAATTGCTGAAAAGGCATTGTGAAATACTTTGTCTTCTATAGCTGGTTATGAGAATCATATAATGTCGTGTGGCCGCTATCGTGGCTGCATGAATTTTGGATTTCTGCAAAGAGTCAGATAATTACGAGATTGGTTTCTGTGCATCTGGTGTTATGGCTGTGCCAGAGAGCAACTCGTGGGGGGCAACTAGTGACCTCGGTAGGGCGTGAAGGATGAGTCGGTACCGCCCCCCTTCCCATGAGACTGCAGTTGCCCTACCACTGCCATCTCATACCTGGCTTTTCAATAAGCTCTGAGGCGGCAACCAACTTGCTGCTGGGAGGGGGAAATGGCAGAAGGGAGCAACACCCTTTCCCACCCGGGGAGGCATGGCACCATAGTTTAACGCATGATCCATTCACTTTTCTGCCGCAAGCTCCCGGGCTCTGGATTAAGTCCTTTTGTCTCTGGAGCCATGGCTGTGCCGGAGAGCCGCTAGTGGGGGACAACTTGTGACCTCGGTAGGGCGTGAAGGACGAGCCGGTACCGCTCCCCTTCCCATGAGACGGCAGTTGCCCCGTCACCGCCGGCTCATACCTGGCTTTCCAATAAGCTCTGAGGCGGCGGCCACCTTGTATGTGGTCCAGATGCATTTCTGCCAAAAGCCTCTGGGTTAATCAGCTTGATCAGGAACCAGAGAGGCTGTCTATAGGGGGCGACTTGGGGTCTCGCTGGGATCGGGAGGTAAGGGCCTGTTCCACCCCCATCTGGTGAGGCCCCCACATGTCTCGTCACTGCAGGCCCAAACCTGACTGTCCAGTGGCCTCTGGAGGATGGCAGTCACCAGGCCGCCAAGGGGAACAGGCCAAGGCATGAAACCTATTTCCACCTGGAGTGGCCCAGCATCAGTAACCTATTGCAGGAACAGGACGCATTTCTGCCAAAAGCCTTTGGGTTCTGAGTCTCTGGGATCATGGCCGTTAAGCAGTTCGATCAGGAACCGGAGGGGCCATGCCTCCAATTATATAGCTGAGCCGGAGGTGGTTTGTGAGTGTGTCTCCCACATACCTAACTTTTGGCCATTTATTTTCTTGGTAAACTTTGCCCCAAGTTTTTGGGGTCTGGCCAAAGGCACAGCAGCAGTTTTGGGGTATCTGAAAGTCTGAAGGTGCCATCAGGCTGCCATCGCCTCATAGGTACAGATTGACCTGCTGGCAGCACCATACCCCTTTATTTATTTATTTTCAACTGTGTTGGAATTTCAACCCAGGCTTCATGCGTGGGAGGTCTCAGTCATCACTGAGTCACCTCATCAACCCCTCACACACATACGTTCTTATTGCCCCAGCTAGTATGAGTAATGTTCAGATTCATTGATTCATTCAAATCGTCTCATTAGTACATACTCTTTGAAAGGTTCTATCTTAGGGCATAGGGCATTGGGGAGATGAAAAGTAAATATGTGAAGTTCATGCCCAATTCAATCAGCCTAATCAGTGGCTGAATAAATAACAGTACTCCTACATAGAAAAAAATGTAAATAAGACACATCATTTTTCTTTTCTCTCTTTTTTGGTGGTGGTTGTTGTCATTGCTGGAAATTTAGACAAGCTTGCCCTCAGCTACTCCAACACTGAGCTATATTCCCAGCCCCAAAGCATAGTCCTTATGCTGAACATAGGAAAGAAATAATAGAGATAGATTAATAGATGATGATCTGTATACGAAGTATAATGTGGAGTAAGATACATGAAAGAGATTAGTGCTGGTGGAGGGATGGGTATTTGATCATTGTATAATCTAAACCCAAGCACAAAAAATTGTAAATCTACAACTGTACCTCATGGTGTTTCACTAATAATAATAAATTTTTTAAAAAAAGAAAGAGATTAGTGCTTATATCCAAGATGTATTAGAGCACTCTCAAAGCTTAGAGAACCAATGGGGAGGGACCAGAATAATAGTGTAGGGGTTTTGGCACTTGCCTTGCAACCCTCCAGCCCCAGTTAGAATCCTCGGCCCTACCTATGGTTTCTGAGCATTATCAGGGGTCACTCCTAAGCACAAAGTTAAGAATAGCCCCTGATCACCTCCAAGTCTGGCCCCAGAACAGCAACAAAAAAGAAAAAATGGGAAAGAGAGGAACAGAGACTTAGTTGAAGAAGACAGAGATGGCCAACAAGCATATGAAAAACGTTCATCGTCACTGATTATCAAGGAAATGCAAATCAAAATGGCAATGAGATATCACCTCACCCTGGTGAGAATAGTCTGTATCAGAAGCAGTACTTGTTTCTGATATTCCAGTCTATACCCAAAACAGTAAGTTCTGGTGGGTACATGGTAGGAAAGCAACTCCTACTATCAGTGTCCTCTTGCTGTTCAGTCTCTTCAGAAAAGTTTGGGAACCTCTCAAAACATTATGAGTAGAACTTCCATATGACCCAGTGATTCTATTCCTGGAAATCTACTCAAGAACTTAAGACATTCATATGAAAGGAAATACACCTATGCTCATCACAGCATTACTTACATTAGCCAAGATCTGGAAACAATTCAAGTGCTCAGTAACAGACAATGAATAAAGAAACTGGTATAATGAAATAATAACCGTCAGTTTTGAGAAAAGGTGAAATCTTATAGTTCACTGCAACTTAGAATTGGAGGGAATCATGTGAAGTCAAGTGAGTCAGAGAGTAAAAAAAATGCAGACCAGATTATATTGTTTGTATGTGGCAAAGAAATGTGGCTTAGACAATACCCAGTGGAAACAAACCCTGAGACATGATTAATAGAACTGGGAATAAGGAAAGTTCAAGTGGGGAAGGCAGGGACAGTGGGGATAATGATTTTGAAACACTGGTGAAAGGATTGGTGTATTGTTATAGCTCTGCAACTATACATTAGTGCTATTAACAGCATAGCAATGATACATCAATTGTTTAAAACATTACAGTGCAATGAAAAGAGATTACTTTGCTGAATAGTAGTGAAGGCTTTGTGAGTTAGAATTCTGTGTGTGTGTGGTATCAGGAGTTGAATTTTGATAGGAAGAAACAGGAGAAATTTGGAGGCAGAAATTCATAGGAGGTACTTTAGGGTACATTGGGGGATTGGTATAAAGTATAGAAGGAAGGAAGACTGGGACTGGATTGAATTTATGATAATGTAGATGAGTAAAGGGTATTAATTAAATACAGTATAGTAAATATTGAAGCATAAGATAAAATGAAATGCTGCAACATGAGTGAACCTTGAAACCATGTTAATTAATATATTTCTGGCAGGACAGGGTTCAGACATTGAGGATGATGGGTAAAAGATAAGGAGTTTATTTCTGGAGTGATATGTTTTAAAATTGTATTGGTACAACTCTTGGATATAATAAAAATCAGTGAGTTGCACACATTATGGAGCAAATTATAACAGTAAAGCTGATGCCAAAAATATATTTTAATCTTAGAAAATGGTAAGCTATTGAAACTACCTTGTACTTAGTATGTACTTAATAAATAGTAGCTATTATTGAGTATATACGATTTTGAACTTTGTCCAGTAACAAATAAACTCAACTGACAGTACAGTACTATGTAAGATAGTCTGACAGTGGAAAAACCAGCTATAACATTTTTACAGTTTAGAAGATAATGAAGATAATATAGCTGTTACCTAAAGTAGATATGGAAAGATGGGAATAATTTCTGACTATAACAAATAAACAGAAAATGACATTTTTGTAGCTAGAACAGGAAGGTGAACTCTCTCCATGGTTTGGTTACTGATTGTGATTCCACACATTAAAAGCAACAAAAATTTCTTAATAAAAATGATGCACGCTAAATATGGAGTTACTTTCCTTAGAGTGTTCACAGTTTCATAAGATTAACATAAGGACATCACAATATATTTTTCTAAAGTCAGCCTATGAAGTGAAAAAACTGTATTTTCAAAACTGCATTAAAAATTCCATATGATATTTCTTTGTCAGACTCTAGCATATCTCCTCTCAGCATGTCTATCTGAACCAACTTTTCATCCAGAATTAGAGCCAAATCTGTTTATTTAGTTGATCACCAGATTAAATGGTTGGCTTCGTTTTCTTAACGATACTCAATCAAATGTTTATTGAACCACTAGATTCCAGGGATATTGTTACTCTCAGGGAGAATATTTGTAAACACATAAAATTTCAGATGCTTCTAAGCATTATGAAGAAAATTGTCGGGGCTGGACCAATAGCACAGTGGGTAGGGTGTTTGCCTTGCACGCGGCCAACCCAGGTTTGATTCCCAGCATCTCATATGGTCCCCTGAGCACCTCCAGGAGTAGTTCCTGGGTGCAGAGCCAGGAGTAACCCCTGTGCATCGCTGGGTGTAACTCAAAAAGAAAAAAAAATTGTCTATGGTAATGAGTATGAATAACCAGTAGAAGTGCTGGCAGCAAAGCTACAATATTCAGGAAATACCTCTCTGAAGTGGTGGATTGCATTTGAGATACATAAGCAGATGAGATAACATATTCCTAGCAGAAGCAATCACAAGGGTTTGAGAAATCTTGGTGTATTTGGCACAAGCTCATTTTGTTTGGACAGAAAGACATCTTGACCTGAGCTTAATGACTTGGAAGGTGGAGGAAGGAAAGTGAAGACCAGTCAAAAAGGTATCCTGTCATAGCCATATGTCCTTTGGGGAGCAAAACAGTATGCCGAAAATATACATGTGTAAACACTAGGCCAGAGGTTCCCGAACTTACTTGGCCTGCTGCCCCCTTTAAAAAAAAATCAAAGCTTTCGGTTACACTTTGTAACTACTCTCACGGTGATTAAATAAAGTTATTTTTAAAAAATGAAAAATAAAAGTAAGGTGGAGTTCATGCCCAATTCAATCAGCTAACCAGTGTCTGAATAAATAGCAGTACTCCTACATAAAAAAAAAAAAAATCAGGGCTTGAGCCATAGCACAGCAAGGTAGGACATTTGCCTTGCCTGTGGCCAACCCGGGTTAAATTCCCAGCAACCCAAATGGTTCCCCAGCACCGCCAGAAGTAATTCCTGAGTGCAGAGCCAGGAGTAATCCCTGTGCATAGCCAGGTGCGACCCAAAAAGAAAAAAAAATCAGAATAACAGTGCCCTGCCCCTGCCAGTCTGCCTTCTTTAAACCGAACAAACAACCTGCTCACCCCCAAAGAAGAAAAAAGGTGACTGGAGATATATACTACAGGGATTAGCAGAAGACCCAGTTCAATCCCCGACACAGTCAATGGTCCTTGGAGCATTTTCAGGAGTTACTGAGTACAGAGCCAGGAGCAAACTTTGAGCACCTCAGGGTCTACATCAGTAGAACTCTGTGGACGATAAATACCACTCAGAGTTTTTGCTAAATTATTTGGTTAAATTACAGCTAAGTTCAACACTCATGTCCTGATTCCACTGTTAAATGAGCCAGTGATGGACTTTTGTTAAAGGTCTGAAAAGTTGGGTGCAAAAGAAGTAATCAAATGTACAAAAAGGGGGAAAAAATTTTGATATGGAAAACATCTTTGAACCTATACAGGTGAATATTGATGAGAGGCTGTTGGCTCTCCGTGGGGCGGGGCGGGGCGTTGCCAGCAGTGTTCCGGGGACCAGGACTGCGTTTACTCGTTCCCGCTGGGAACTTCCATCCACTCTCCCACCCCGAGGGGGAGGAAAAGTCGCTAGAGGACTAGATGGCGGGTTTGGAAGGTTCGCAAGCTTGAGTGCCCCGGTGGGGACCGACTTGTTCCGACAGATCCTGGCCTCCACCCGGAGTCGGAGTCGGAGTCGGCAGTTCTAAGGTGGGGCCGCGAGTGTGCCCCTTGTAACACGTTTCCTGGGGGTGCGGCTTGGGCCAGAGGACCCCACTGTGAGAACCACTGTTACCGGAGACTTTTTCACTCTGGAATGAGCACTCTTGGTTTCTTTTTGATTGTCGGGCGGCGATGCTCGGGGCTGACTCCTGCCCTGCGCTCCGGGAATCCCGGGTGGGCCGCCTGCCAGGCGAACGCCCGGAGCGCTGCAGTTCGCGCGCCCTAGACCCGGCTCTGTGCCCGCAGCTCCCTGGAAGCGGGCGGGGGCCAGTCCCACCCGGGGTCCAGCCCAGAGCGAGGGCGCGGGGCGGGGACAGGGCGAGCCCCGGCGGCCCCGTTACGGGCTGGGCGGCCGCCGGCCCCGCCCCGGTCCACCCCCTGCTCCATCTTGCGGCGACCGGGCCGGGCCGTGACGCCGCGCTCGGGGCTCAGGTGAGCAGGGGCGCCGCGGGGGGCTGCGGGGCGGGCGGGCGGGCGGGCGGGGGTCGGCCCGGGGCCGGGCGCCGCGCCCGCGGGAGGCGACCCTGCAGCGGCCCGCTGCTGGACGTGCCGGTGACACAGCGGATTTCGGGGCACCTGGCGGGATGCGGGACCCTCGGCCCCTCCCGGCCGGGGGTCCGGCGGGTGGGCGCGACCCACGCGCCCCGCCCGGGACAGGCGCCGCACCGGGCCCGCTCACCCCGCCCGAGCCGCGGGGAGGGACAGGCGCGAAGTGCCCCCGACCTCGGAACGCCCCGGGTCGCCGCCTCCTCGCGGGGCGCCGGGCCGACCCCCGCCTCCGGGGACCCCGTGCCTCCCCCGACGGGCAGGACTTTGCAGCCCGAGATCGCGGGCTGGGGGCACCGTTCGCGGCCGCCGCCAACTTCAAGCCGCTTCTCGGGGTTCGCGGGGCGGGGCTGCCGTCCTGGCCCCCCAACCGACCAAGGGGCACGTTTTGGGGAAACTGCGGCCCCCGCTCAGGCCACCTCCAGCCGCCTTCCTGTCCGCTCCGTGTCGTCGCCGGCCCCGACGGCCTCCCGGGCTCGTGGGCGCCAGGCCAGCCCCGAGACTCCGAGTGGGACCCACCCTATTGGGAGCTGACTCACTGGGTGGAGCTCCGTGGGACAACCCAGAGTGGTTTTCTGATCTTTGCAAACTTGCTACCGTAGTGACGATCCAAAACAGAGGTTGGGCCGGGAAGACAGGACATGGGTTAAGGCGCTCACCCTGCACGCAGCCGACCCCAGCCCAGCCACCAGACGTGAGCCCTGAGCGCCGACAGGGGTTGCCCCCAAACAGACAAACTAAAGGAAAGTAAAACTGATTCCCCAGCGTAATGATGCTATTACTTGGGCAAAGTTGAATGCTTCTTTGAGCTAACCCTGGAGTTGGGTCGCATTTTTCAAAATAATCTTTTAACATGCACAATTCCAAAGGAGGCTGGAGGTACTTTGAAAAGTAAATCTTATTTTACGTTCTCTCTCCTAGTGACTGTATTCTTTTTTTTTTTTTCTTTTTGGGTCACACCCGGCGATGCACAGGGGTTATTCCTGGCTCATGCACTCAGGAATGACTCCTGGCGGTGCCCAGGGGACCTTATGGGATGCTGGGAATTGAACCTGGGTCGGCCGCGTGCAAGGCAAGCGCCCTCCCCGCTGTGCTATCACTCCAGCCCTGTGACTGTATTCTTTGTGTTGTTTATTTTTGAGCCACCCCCAGAGGTGCTCAGGGCTAACTCCTGGCTCTGTGCTTAGGGATCACTCCTGGTGGTGCTCATGGGACCAAATGGGGTGCCAGGGAAGGAGCCTGACTTGGCGGGGTGCAAGGCAAGCATCTTAACCCACTGTCCTGTTGCAGGGGTCCTTGCTGTATTGTTCCTTCCTGTTTTGTCTTCACACATGAATAAAAAGGGGTTCCTAATTTTAACACCAAAGCATGTCATCATAGGGCTATCTTTAATCCAGACGTCACCATATGGGGTGTTGGGATCAAACCCGGGTCAGCCACGATATACAGGAAAAGCACCCCGCACTCTCTCCAGCCCTTTACCTTTCCATTTATTAACTTCTTTTGTGAATAATTTTCAGATTTCTCTCCTTTCTTTTGATTGTGACCCCTTTGTCCTTGGTCCATCTGTCTGTCCTTACCACTGGCCCTCCTTTATGTCTGTACCAACAAGGCATACAGAGGAAAGCGAAGAACAATTGAAGTCTGTTCCTATTTTTTACATCTTTGCCTACACTGCTCCTTTAGAACTGACTGGACCAGTTTTCTTATTATCTTTTTTACTAGCTTTACTGTGACTCAGGATATCCCACCCGTTCTCTTATTCCCTCTTTCTGGTACTGTCGCAATAACAGCAGTCACGTGCTCGCTCCCACACTGCAGGCCGATCTTGCTTGTGATACTCGCTGTTGGTGGTTGCCCTAGTGCTCACACACATGTTGCAGGGAGATGCACATATGACTGCAGAGAGTGCTCACAAATATTTTTTGTTGTGCTCACATGCCCACACTTAGGATGCAACTGGAAATTGCTGGTGCACTGGTAACCAAACCCAAGTTTGGGTACTCACCGCTTTAAGGCACTGAGAATTGATATGGGGGTGGGGGGAAGAGTTTATTCCAGGGTTAGTAACTTGAGGATTCATGTCTCAAAAACAAAACAAAAGAACGGGGACTGTAGCAATAGCACAGCAGGTAGGGCGTTTGCCTTACATGTACCAAGCCAGTTTGATCCCCAGCATCTCTTAGCATCCGCTATGGGCCTGCCAGGAGTGATCCTGAGCACAGTCAGGAGTAAGCCCTCAGCATAGCTGCGTGTGGGCCAAGAACAACAAAAAAGGAAAAGTCATCTTCCTATTCAGGTGGGGGCTAGGGATGTATATATGATGGTTTGGGGAGAGAGAAGGAATGTCCGGTGATGGGTGGAGCAGGAGGGGGTTGGCTTCAGGGGCTGTTTGAGCTGGTGTTGGTGGGTGCTGGATTCTTGGAGGATGTCAGTCTGTTCTCTGTGACCTGTCCCCGGGAGAAGAGAGTCTTTGGACCTGATTAAGAACCCAGAGGGGCCGGAGTGATAGCACAGCGGTAGGGCAATTGCCTTGCACGTGGCCGACCTGGATTCGATCCCCAGCATCCTACATGGTCTCCAGAGGAACTCCAGGAGTAATTCCTAAGTGCAGAACCAGGAGTAATTCCTAAACATCGCCAGGTGTGATCCCCAAAAAACAAAACAAAACACACCTAGGAGGGATCTGAGCCCATTGCTTCCACCACTGTCTGTAAAGAACCTGTGTAACACCAGACACACAGCATAAGATCATTTCTTAGGCTGGAGGGACAAGGAGGGAGAGTGACTCTAAGGCACAAATAAGACGGAGTCGCTAAAACTTGCTCACTTCCAATGCTACTAGAAATTGGCATCCTCCTGGGATGGCAGACAGCAGGGCTGCCACCATCGCACTCAGCATGTGGTGGCAGCAGGGATGGCGCTCACTGCCCCATACTTGAAAGGCAGGCGCTTACCCCTGAGCCATCTCCTGACCCCACTCCCATTCATTCGTAATTTAGAAAGCTCTTGGCTTCTGCCCTGTGCCTATTCTTTTTCTTTTTTTTCTTTTTGGGTCACACTCGGCGATGCTCAGGGGTTACTCCTGGTTCTGCACTAAGGAATTACTCCTGGCAGTGCTGGGGAGACCATATGGGATACCGGGGATTGAACCCGTGTTGGCTGCGTGCAAGGGAAACACCCTACCCCTGCACTGTTGCTCTGGCCCCCTATGCCTATTCTTGAGGAATACTAGAACTTAAGTTTATTCTCATTTTCCTATATGTACTAAAATGCAGAGTACTTTTTTCTTCATCTTTCTGTCAAAACCTAAAACTGTACTTATTATCTAATGAGTTGAATTAGACTTTGGGGATATCTTGATATCAAATCCATACAAATCATTTGCTGATGTGTTGAGGAAAAGAACCAAATACGTGAGAAATTTTATTATTTTTTTAATTTGGGGGTGGGGTGGCCTACGCTCAGCGGTGTTCAGAGCTTGCTTCTAGCTCTGTTCTCAGAGATCACTTCTGCCGACCTCAGGGGGCCGTATGGGATGCCAGGAATCAAACCTGGGTGAGCTGTGTGTAAAGCAAACACCCTACCCTCTGGATTTTTGCTCCAGCCCCTACATACTTGAGAAGTTTTAGAAAATTAAATGCTAGATCGAGAAATATTCCAGTATAAAAGTATGATTCGGGGCTGGAGAGAGAGTACAAGGGTTAAGGTGCTAACTTGCCTTGCACCCGGCCGATCCGGGTTCTTTTGCCGGAACCCCATTTGGTCCAGAAGTGATTCCCGAGTGCAGAGTCAGGAATGATCCCTGAGAACAGAGCAAAAGTAAGCCCTGAGCACCGCGATGGGTGTAACCCCGAAACAAACGAACACAGATAAGTATGATTCATAGACCAGCAGCAGTAGCATTACCTGGAAGCTTAGAATGGGAGTTTTCAGATTCCCTCTCGGAGCTCCGACTTTCTTTTTCATAACTTAAATGGGTAATTTAAGTTATGGAACTTTACCACTTGATCATATCCCTGATTCTCAATTGCTTTTTGGGCAATTCTCAATTGCTCAATTCTGGAATTTTTTTTTTGTTTTGGGGCCACACCAGCAGAGGTTACTCCTGGCTCTCTGCTTTTAGGGGTCATTCCTCGGGGGATCAGGAAAACCAGATGTATTCTGGGGATCTAACCAGATCGGCCTTGTGCAAAGCAAGTGCCCTACCTGCTGTCCTATTGCTCCACTCCCTAAAATCTGTATTTTAAAATGTCCTTAGGTGGTAAATAGAGGTGAAGTTTAAGATTTGCTGTTTTAACTAGTACACTGTTCGAAGAAGGGAAAGAAAAGATAGGTGCTAGGTAAGTCAGGTAAGTGGAGTGAGCCCAGGGTCGAGGGCCCAAGCAGTTAATAGTAGTAACAGCTTATGCAAAGAATGTTGGGGATGGTTCAAGTGGTAGGGACTTTACATTAGTGTTAGTGTTATCTGGAGATCAACTGGAAACAGTTCTAAGGAGGGCTGTTAGGCCAAGGAATTTTTATTTGCTGCTTTAACATCTGTCATTGAGGATCTTGGATCTGAAGAGTAAAAACAAGAGCAGCATGGCAAGAAAGTTCACCTGGTATGCTCCCCAGGAAGCTGAAGGGTGAGAGTATAATGATGGATGTAATGGAGAAGGAATGTTGGTAGAGTAGGCATCGGGTGATGAAAACCCAAGCTAAGGAAATGGCCATGAAAATAGACATGATAAGATCAGGAGCGGCATTTCAGAGAAAGAAAAATATTGGGTTACTGACTCTACAGGGGCAATGGGTAATTTAAGTAGAGGGACTATTGGCAGATGTGGGTTATTAATAGTGACCTGATGGGCATTGATGAATATTTAATTCCATACCAATACTGA